AATTTCAAAGATTTAATAAACAAAAGCTGGGAATACAGAGACACGGGATACACTGAGGACACGAAATGACATTCGACAGCGATCTGGTAACAAGGGGCAAAACACACTTTATATCAACAGAAACTAATGGGACACACCTGGGATCAATAGAACTAAATGGGAATAGGAACAGGAAAAACCAAATATGGGCATAAACATTAACCTGGAGCACATGGGGAAGGAAAACACAACACGAGACATGGAACAAAGTCTGACAGCATATTGTTCCAAAGTATTGTTCTGAGATGTTTATATAAAGAAGAAACCCTGAGAGGAATTAAGACTGTTTTGGATGCATACATAAATGTTCAAGCAGATGTAATCCAGCTTCACTTCCGTTCAAATTTTGGGGTTGGTAAGATTTTAATGTTTTTGAAAGAAGTCTCTTCTGCTCACCAAGGCTGCCTTTATTTGATCAAAAATACAGTAATCATGATACTGATTATAATGATATACAGTAGTATAAATCCATTGCATATGCAAACATTATGAATGGACATTGCTTATGCATGATATTTGATATGAAGAGCACATGAGATGAATTGTAAATCTATACCAATATCCCTGTTTTCATGTTTAAAATGAAATCAAGCATTAAAACAATGAACTGGAGCTGGATAAGCATTTCATATTTTTGAAACCTAGTAAAACAGCTATGATTCCAAGTTGGCTTTAGCTATGATTAACAGCTATGATTCCAAGTATTAAGCTATGATTCCAATGTTGGCTTTATCAGAATATATTTATTCATTTTATATTGATTTAAATTGATGATAGAATGGCAATTATAGCTGATATGGTGAAGACTACATGGGTGATTCTCACGAAATCTTGGTTTTAAAAATTTCAAGCATGAAAAGAGATTATCTTACCTGGTAGCCATCTTGAAGTAACTGGCCCATGTGCTTCTTCACTCAAACTTTATTTAAATTCTGTTTGTGTGTTTAAACAGTCCTTTAAAAATGTTGCGGAGGATGATAACATCAGGCATGGACACATCATTTTCCTACTTTTTTTCATTATTATTATACATGAATATTCAGTCAATTAATTTTTCTGTCATCTAAAATAATCTAGTAGAAGCAGTAATTAAAGCAGAAGGAGACCCTACCAAGTTATTGAGTACATGTACAGTAAATGAGCATACTTTCCAGAAGGCCAACAATTCATTAAAAATGTTTTTTTTTATTGGTCTTATGGAGTATTCTAATTTGTTGAGATAGTGAGTTGGTGGGTTTTTGTTAAATGTGAGCCAAAATCATCACAATTAAAAGAACCAAAGACTTAAACTACTTCAGTCTGTGTGCATTGAATTTATTTAATACACGAGTTTCACAATTTGAGTTGAATTACTGAAATAAATGAACTTTTCCACGACATTCTAATTTATTGAGATGCACCTGTATATTATCAATCATCATTAAATATTTTTATTATTTTATTTTATTTATATTCAGCATTTTGGATTTTTGTATATGCATTCTGAAAAATGATAGCAATTCATGTATGTATATATATATATATATATATATAAAGTGCTATTATTTTCCAGAACATAAGTCACATTATATAATTCAATTAACATCAACCACATAAAACATGCACACATTTGTATAGTTCAATAGTCTTTTTCACGTCGGACATCTAATTAAGATTAAATAATAATTTCTCCATGGGATGGCCTCATGAGTCACAGATTAACGAGCTAAACTCTCAATTAAAAACTCACAGTCAAAAATTATGAAAGTATGAAAGTTGCTCTGACACCAGAACAACCACCAGCATTAAGTCAATTAATGCTTCTTTTTGCACTCTGATTGTTGTTTTTAACATTCAGTTCTGTGGTGTGGTTGGAACGTGTCCTATTGTTCTGAAGCTTCAGGAAAGTCTGGCGGAATCTACATCCACCCCGTCCAGGGCCAGACACAGATAACAGCGTTAGCCTTATTTATGTTGGCCGCTGTCTATACGGGCAGATAATGAGAGCCTTGGTGGAGGTCATTCTGAACAGACAGATTTGGCCGCGTCAGTGCAGAGATGGAGCCGGTGGTCATATTCATCTTCAGCTGAGACAACAGAGCGAAGACCTCACAATGTAGATCAGCACGAGCACATGTACAACTCCAGCTTCATCCGACAGTCCAAAAATAACAGCCGTAAACTGACCACACACATAATAATCAGCATGCTGAGTGTAGTCACGGGCTTCTCAGTGATCTCTGGACACGGATTAATTCAATTAGTGATTTGATTGATTATCATTGAATCCAAATGGCCAGAGAACATCAAGACGGCACCAAATCTGAGCTCATGTCGGTCAAAACCCAAACCAGTACTGTCAAATAATGATCTTAGAATAACTTCACTATTGAATGCACTTTCCAGTCATATTATGAAAATATGACATTTTCATTTTGAAATTAAAGAGTTCAAAAAGACAAGATGCAAAAATGTCTCATCAACATCTGGACATCACAAAAACAAATATGGAAACACATGACCTCCCAAATTTGGTATTCAGAAACTGAAATTAAGCAAGAAGTAGGATAGATATAGTTATTTAATAAATTCCATGATCATTTACACTAAATACAGATTGGAATATATTTATTTATTTGTTTTATTTGTTTGTTTATTTAAATGTTATATTTATATTATAATAATAATATAAATAAATATATGATATAATATATTATAATTTTTATATTTATATTTTTATATTTTTTATTGTAGTTATATTTTGTTTTTGAAAGAAGCATCTCATGCTCACCAAGGCTGCGTTTATTTGATCCAAATCAACAGCAAAAACTGTAATATTCAGAAATATTTAACAATTTAAAGTAACTGTTTTCTATGTGAATATATTATAAAATGTAATTTATTCCTGTGATCAAAGCTGAATTTTCAGCATCATTACTCCAGTCTTCAGTGTCACATGATCTTCAGAAATCATTCTAATATGCTGATTTGCTGCTCAAGAAACATTTCTGATTATTATCAATGCTGAAAACAGTTGTGCTGCCCAATATTTTTGTGGAAACCATGATAAAGTCTTTTTTTTTTCAAAAAATGTTTTGATGAACAGAAAGTCAGCATTTATTTTAAATAGAAAGTTTTTAACATTATAAATGTCTTTGCTGTCACATTTAATGAATCATTGCTGAATATTCATTTCTTTATTTTTCATTTATATTTCTTAACATAAACTTTTCACCTACTAGCTCTGCAACTGCTCCAAAAATGAATGTGAATGCTAAGTGAAAGCTCTCTCCAGGTATTATAGACCTCTTTAAAAGAATCTATAGCACAACAGAACAATGAGGCAGCAACATTAACAATGATGTTCCTGCCCTAATGATCAATCAACTAAATCTGACGTCTGTTTATGCACATTATAAACACAGACACAATGGACACTGAGCACAGTGCTTTAAAGGTACTAGCATGGTGTGTGTTTGTTATTAGTAACAGCACAGGGTCGGCCAGAGGATGCCGGATTATCCAAGCATGGTGTGAAAATTGATTTGGGTAAAATATATAAAGGCTGTTTTCCCCTCCTGTCGTGTTCTTCCTGTCTGATCGCCACTGACTTCAAAGAGCTGAGCCGATGCTTAAACTCAAACTAACACCACCAGACGCTAACGTCAGCATGCAAAAAAGGCCTTTGAACCTGTCTAGAGCCCACACGCGTCATGACAATACACAGACACGCTCCCACAAACACAACAGGGAAATCTTCTTGTGACCCTCGAAACGAATAAAGTGAATCTCAATAAACCTGTCAAGAGCCAGAGCTGTCGAAGTTAACTAAAGCTAAAACGATTAAAAATTGTTTTCGTTAATTAAAAAAATCTGAAATAAAATGAAATATAGATATTAGATGAAACATTTAAACCTAAAAAGACTAAACAAAAATTCTAAATGTTGCCTTGAAATAAATACATTTAAGTACTAAATTTACTAAAACTGGAAAAAAAAATTACGTGAAAAATATAAACTTGAAAAAAACTTAAATGCAAATTTAAAATGTTAACTTAAATTTAAGTTGAAGTTCTAAAATTACTAAAACTAAAGCAGAAATAAAATAAAATGTAAATATTATGTGAAAAACAAACTTGAAAAACTTAAATGAAAATTAGAAATTTTGCCTTGGCAAATAACTGCAATTCAAAAATGTAAGCTAAAACGAAAGAAAAACTACAGAAATGACAAAAGCTCAACAAAATTACTAAAACTTAAAATTTTAATGAAAACAGAAAATAAAAAAGCTAATTCAAAATGTTAATGAATACTACAATAGCATACAAAACCAATCCTGTGAAAGGGGACACCGGATGCAAAATTCACTTTTATATGATGTTTGAATATAATGTGTCTTGCAGGTGTTTTGTAGTTGGATGTAAAAGTGAACATAAGAGTCTTCATTTTCTCCCGACATCAGAGCCAGTGAGGACACAGTTTTGTTTCTGACGGTAATGCGCCACCCAATACGATTTGTTTATGTCTGCGCAAATCATCTTACATTTCTGCTTTCTGAACGAGGGACAATTCAAGGCAGGTTTTGCTAAAAAGTTCAAACTCAAGGATGGATTAGTGCCCACTGTTAGTGATCCAGCTGCACCTCCAGAAGTCTCACACTTGATCATATTTAACACCATAATCAAATGACAGAGATACGAAATTACATTTTTCTGAAAATGAAAGTGACATTTTTAAAGAAAATTAAGCCTGTTTTCAGCAACATTAATATATATTTGCATTCTGATATTATTTTTATGACAATAGGGGTTATGCGCAACAGACTTCCGTATTCTGTTAACCGGGTCTCGCCGCTTCCGGTTCAAGCGTTTTGCATATGATTCGTTAAAGGTCCCCTGAAATGCTTAGAAACACGCAGTGTTACTCTGTGTTGACGTCATTTTAACTGAAACAGGAAGACAGGGCGGGACATATCAAGCAGCCCCTGGACAAGTGACCGATTTCAGCCGTGGCTTCAGCGTCTATTTTATAGTGTAGGGGGCGGGGCTTCGGATTCTAGAGAGCATTTGATTGGACAGAAAGTTTGATGAGGAGCTGAAGTACGATGTGACGTCAAAAAAATCGTTGAGCCGTTTTGGCGGAAGTGACTGCAAGCTTTGAATGCTTATATCTTCTAAATGCGAATTTTGTCACTGTTTTGGAGCACACTGCCTTACAGATAACTAACATATTGATACTAACACCCAAAAAACTTTCATTTTGATTTCATGACTTTAAATATGAAGCAGTTTTACTCAAGATGCCTTCAAAGTAGATTCCAAAGAATATCATAACCAATGTCCATCACATATGCGGAATGATATCTAAAAAAATGTTATTTTTATTCTTTTTACTAACATTTATATAAAAAATTTAATAAAACGTCAACAATAAAAACAGCTACCTAGTTTAACTGATTATCTTAAAAGTCCATAGATATCGCTATTATTTATTACGGCTGTTAGCACGTTCTCCGACAAGCGGAAGCGATGAGACCTGTTTTCCGGGTTTGGTCAGGTGACGTTCGACATGTACCCTATTAAGCATATTTTCCACCCAATTCTCATTACTTTAATGCAATAATAAAAATAATAATAATAATAATAATAATAATCTCATTTTCAAACTTGTGAATTCCTATGGTAAAATGTGCATACATTTTTAAAAATTATTTTGATCATTTTTTAATTATTTAATATAAAATTAAAAATAATAACATTTACGTAATATTAATATAAAACTATTATACTTAACAATTCGAGATAAAAATCAATTTTTTACTTTGATTTTGGGTTAAAATGTGACCTGGACATGTTTTCGTGAGACCAATAGTTTGATACAAAACAAAGTTGATCCCTGTGTCTCACTGCTTCCATGTCTGTCT